ACAAATATGTATTCTACATCGTGTCAGATTTGCTTACTCAGCATAGCTATTATTGAAGGGTGTGTCAGCGGTTAGAATTGATCTTATTCGTATTTGATATGTTCCATGTGTTACTCTCGTATGCTACGATGGGTTGTGATATTGTTGATTAGTTACACACATGATGTTATTCTGGTTGGACCTTGTGGCGAAATTCGAACGAGATGGATCTTGGGGTGTTAAATGGTTGATTGTGCCTTGGTTATGGTCTTCATGTTTGTGGTATATTGTGCTATCCTTTTCTCCATAATTATGATCATGCACTTGGCGTGTTTGTTATTGATATGCATATGGTTGTTGATTGTGAGCATCATGGCTCGATGTATTCCATGTGGACCGGTGTGTTTGGATTGGGTCGCGCATCGCAACGGAGTTATGTTGGATATGATCCTCATGCTATTCCGTGTGTTTTATTTCTCCTCTATGCAATGGGTTCATACCATTGTGCTTTGCGGTGGTATATATTGAGCTTGCGAAACGGTTGTCTCATTTGATTCTATTTCCATTATTGAGAGCATTCGAGTCATTGCTTGTTTGGTGCACGGATTGCATGCTATGTGGATCAAGGTGGTGCTGGCGTGGCGTGTCGGTCGAGCAACTTGTACTAGATGGCATGAGGCTCTTGGACCTGGAATAAGTGTTATCAGACTTGATTACGGTAAGTTGGGAGAATAATGTCACTAGTCAGCTTAGAATTTGGCTATGATTCTTGTTGGGCGAGAGGGCTCCACGATATGTTGATATGAGGGATGGTTATGAGTTCCTATGAGTTTCTCTTATCATTAGCAGTGTACGAAGGTTCAGAACAAGGCTTTATTTTATATGAGGTTTGTTACCGGTATCGAGTTTGTTATTGAGCAGCTATTGTGGTCGAAAGTCATAACTAAGAGTACATGAGTTATGCGGTATATCCTATGATTATATCTTGGGTTATGGTTATGGCTTGATACAGATTTTTCAGACTTATACAGTGTATATATGTGAGATTCAGGTCTTATGATGAGTTCCGGGTGTTGGTGCTTGGGTTCTAAGGTTTATGGAGTAAGGTTGAAGTAAGGATCTTCAAGTAGGTTGTGTTGTCAGGATCATATCCATTGGGGTGACATGAGATCACCCATGGGTATGTGTATGTTGAGTTTATACAGTGATTTGATGGCTTTAAAATGACTCTTGGCAAGTTCGAGGACGAACGTACGTTTAACTAGGGGAGAATGTAATAACCCGACCGGTCGTTTTGAGCATTTGAATTCAGTTCGGTGGTATGAAGTCATGAGTAGCTTCATATGGTGTATTATGACTTTTGTGTATGCTCGGTTTTGGTCTTCCAGTTGTTCGGAATTGATTTGGAAGACTGATTCTTAAATAGGAAGCTTTAAGTTGGAAGAGTTGACCAAGTTTGACTTTTGTGTATTTGACCTTGGATCGGAGTTTTTATGGTTCCGTTAGGTCCGGATGGTGATTTTGGACTTGGTTGTATGCCCGAATTTGCATTTGGATGTTTCTAGAAGGTTTCGGCACTATTTGGCAAAAATTGGCAATTTGAAGGTTTGGAATATTCATAAGTTTGCCCAGGAGTTGACTTTGATGATATAAGGTTCGTATTGAAAGTACAGGGGGGGGGGGGGGAATT